GAGAATAATTTATTGTGCTATTTTTATGTAAAACTCGTGTTCCTCCCACGAAGATGACTGATACCCTTCTCTGTTTCAGCTCTGCAGCCCACCCAGCAGGAACCACAGGTACAGGCTTTCCTCCAGCCTGGAAAAACAATGAAGGGAGGGTTATCTCTTACCTTGCCAGTGTGTTAGGTCCTTCATGCTATCTATTTTTTCCGGACAAAGGGCCCACGAAGGAGAACAGGAAACTTGCATCTTAAATCAGATTCTGACACACGCATCTGTGCACAGGAGGGGAGAAGGGCTTGAAACCACCATGTTACGTGGATAATTCTGTGCTATTATACACTCAAAATGTCTCATCCTTTTGCCTTGCATGACAAAAACATTCATTTTTGTGTTATTATGTATGCCCCTGATGTGATAGAAAAAGCTAAGCATGCTACCAATTGCAGTACAGCACACTATTTTTTTTTCCTTGTCTCTGCAGTGAGCATTTTTTTTAAACATTAATAATAGGTCTTGGGGTGTATTTTTTCTCATGCACTCTACTCCAAATGATCCTAGTCCTGGGAGGATTTCCTAGGGCAGGCTGGAGAGGTTGCATGCTCTTCACAAGAGCTACTTCTCAGTGTTTCTTACTGATAATGGAAAGAATCTACATACTAAAGGAAAAGCCTTGAGATAATCCAGTTGAGATGTTGATTTGACTTCCATTGCTCAGGAATCAATGGGTTTTAAAAGACAGCACTTGCTGCAAGAGTGCCCAACCCTGGATTTGGAGGCTCCAGAACAGACCAAAATAAGGAGGGCTGTCCGATGTCACGAGAAAATAGGGCTTATTTTTGGAGAGAAACGGGGCTGAATGACTCCCTAAATACTGCCAATTCCTGCTCCTTGGTCTTGGTGAGGCTACTTTGACACAGTAGTTCCAGCCTCATCCCCATCCTTGGGGGCTGAATTATTTTCTAGCGGCCCCCTGCAAATCCGTAGGGCACCGTGGCCCCAGAAGGAGCTACCGGAGGGCCTCTGTTCGGGGCAAGAGGCAAAAAGAATGGCCAAATGTGCACTAGGGGGAGGAGTCAGATGTGTTCATGTTTCAGTAGGTGGCACTGCTTCCTCTTCCTCAGGGACTGGGGTGAATTTTGGGTGCGTGGTGGAACAGCAGGTAGCATCCCGCCGATGAGACCTGGTGAGTCTCAGGGGTGAACTGCACCTTGAGTTGATTATAGCATGCTTTTTGCAAGAGTTCAGCTCACGTACGTGCTGCTTCCCTCTAGATCCTCCTGTATTTTTAGCCTTTCCTTCTTCACATCGTGAAGGTGTTGCTGTGAATATGCACGTAGGGAATGCGTTTGGCTTTGCAAGTGGCTGTGTGCCAGCAGCAGGTAGAGTCCCATAGGTCACGCACCTTCCCAAATCTGCACAAAGCCCCGACCGGCAGAGAAATACGTCGCAAAATCCAAGTGATTCAACTTTCTACCGCAGGCAGATCTGCTCCCGTAGATATTTTGGGAAAAGAGTAAGGAGTGCATTGGATTGGATTAGGCAGCGGAAAAAAAATGCTTCCAGGAGGAGGAAAATGTTTATGTATGTACTTAGTGATGCATCTCCAGCTTCTCCGCCTGCGCTGTCCTGGCTGGCTGTAGCAAGGTGACATTTGCCTGTCAGCGATCCTGCTTGCTACCTGAGCTTTGACTGGCGAGCCCAGGGAGACGTTTGCAGAATAGAGGGCTTTCAAATATGTTTTTAGCTTGGAAGATGGCAGCTGAGTGGGTGCATTTAGTGACAGATGATCCTTGAAAGGTTTAGAAGCAAAAGCTATTAAAACCTAGGAGCTGTGCAGAGAGGAAATATTATGAGTATCTCAGAGCCTGTTTGAAGAGAAGAAACATCCCTGTTTCATGTGATTCCCATCAGCAAGCCCCAGCGCGTGGTGTTTTGGGACAAAGATGCTGTCTGCAGATGCTTTTTTTTTTTTTTTTTCTTACTGCTTACTTGACATCCAGGCACAGTATCACAGTGGCCAGATTAGGAAAAGGCTTTGGGATGACCGTAGCCAATGGCTCCCTTAACAAACTGCAAGCAGCTTCACCCCATCCTCCTGAAATGAAGCCAGTTGGTGCATTCCTGCCATTCTTCTTAAAGCTGTTTGTTTCCGTTCACTGGATCAAGACGACAAAGCAGCTGCCCCGAAAGTCTGAGATTTTGTTTTATTGGGAACTTTAAGTTGAAAAGAGTGGGATCAGAGGAATTATTTTTATCGGAGTGGGGCAGTACCCTGGGATCCCTGAGATTACACATCAGCCGGTACCAGGAAAGCCTGAAGTATGAACCGCAGGGAGGAGATCTGCACTCGCCCGATGGTTTCTTCGGGAGAGCATGAATAGCCAAAAATAGGCAACTGCTGGCTGCCTGCCTGTGGCAGAACTTGGCTGTCAGGTTTTGAAGGCCTTTGGGCTGCTTTGGCCTCAACCTTAAGTTAGGGAAGACCAGCCTTGACAGCTGTTGATTATAGTCCCAAATCTAAAACTGTGCCATAAAATCTTTCTTTAGACCTCGTAGCTCTTATGAAAACCTGCTTCCTACCTGTAAATAAATATTTTCTCTAGATATACTCAGCTAAATTTCTTGCCAGTTTTATTTCCCATAATTTCTCATGGTTTTCTCTGGACCCTTTCTGATCTAGGTACTGTTGTCTCAGTCCCAGGCTGTCCACCTCTAATAGAAACCAAGTAATGTGACTTTACCGCTTGTCATCTAGAAATTATGCACAAGTGTCTCCCCAGGGCTGTTACTCTTTCAAAGCCTGGTGGGCTTCAGTTAACCGTATCACCTTCTTCCTCGTCCAGAAGTTGGTACTGCTTCTGTAGGGAGGAAAACAGTAAAACTTTAAGCATGCCAGCTGAATGCTATTAAAATATTTTATTTATTATTGATTTCTAGTTTGTAGGCAGCAGGAGTGCATCTATTTAATGCCAGACTTCTTTAAAATGGAAATGTTAAGAAGATATTTGTACTTTTGTTCCTAGTGAGTTATGCAAGACTGAAATGAAGGGAATATACAGTAAAAAATGCTGTCTGAACTTAAAGCACGTTGGCAACCCGTGAAAACAACCAGAGAACTTTGCTTTTGTGTTTGGCACATGCATCAAGGGGACTGAAAACTGAAGCGGTTTACATAACCCAATTTTTTTTTTCATGTGCATCTCAAAAAATGCAAGAGGTATCAAATACATTGAAGAACGTGCAAAAAGCCTCACGCTTACGAACAGAGGCCAGGCCCTTTCAAGGAGCATTAAGCAGGGAGCAGTTGTAATTCCTCATCTGTTCTTTTTTTTTATTATTTAAATTTATCTTATAAAGACTATCTGCAGGTTGAAAGTTGGAACTTTGGACTCAGCCAAGCACCAGGATGTAACAGTAAAAAAACCCAAACCAAACCCAACCAAAAAAGCTCAATCCCGTAAACACGGTCTCTGTCTGGATGTGTCTCATCTCCAGGTAATGCCCGAATGGGAAGTCTAGGCACACTGCTAACAGCAGCTACAAACACGCAGGTACCACCCACCTCCAAAAAACGTATCCATGGCTGCATCCTACCTCTCTTCTCCCCCAATCCAACTCCCAGAGAGGGAACTGAAGTAGCTGCTTCTGCTGCCCTGAAAACACCGGAGCACAGAACTGTGCTGGTGCCCCAGCACTGCAGAAGCTCTTGCAGGGTGCCTGTGCCTAGCTGGGTTGTGGGTTTTTTTATCCCCAGCTCCTCCAGACTATTCAATCTTATCAGGAAACCCCCAAACCAGCTATTCTCTTGCCCACAGGTCCCTCTGTCTGCCCTGGAGGGCCAAGCCCCGGAGCCGTGTTGTCATGGTGTACATGGCTGTCCCTTCTGTGCCTGGCAAACGCAGGCAAGACAAAAGAAAACAGAGCCATTTGGCACCGAGGGCTCAGCCGACGCGGCTCATTTATTTTATTTTGTTATTTTTGTGCTGCAGACCCGTGGACCGTTATCTACCGCCATAGGTAGAACTGGCGTGTTGCGGTTTGTCGGCATGCAGACAATCCTAGTGCATGAGGTGTCGCGCTCGCACACTGGGAAAATCTTACCGTGTTTGCTATGGCAGAAACTAGCTCGTGCTTTCATGTGGGTATTGGGGCTACACAGAAAGTCTGTTTCCCCTATTTTAAGTTAGGGTTTTTGTAGTGCTCTAAGTTCCGTATGCCCTGCCTCCAGGCTTTTCCAGTGCGGACACACTTGACCGATATTCACATTTAAATCTGGGTTTTTGGAGCCCAAAGCTTGCTGAGACTGAGGGGGAGCCATGCCAGGCACTGGCTTGTGCTTTCACTCAGTGAAGAGAACAAAAATTGGCTATTAAAAAAAAAAAGAGTAAACGGGAAGTAAGCCGGGCAAGTTCTGCCGGGAGAAAGTAGCACCCTTGGCTGGAGCAGAGGGTGGGAAGGGAGAGGCCCGGGGGACACCCCGAAAGCGGGACGGAGAGGGCGGGTTTGCGGAGCCATCTCCCGGGGTTGGGACCCGTTTGATGGCCTCCTCCTGCAAAAGGACGGCGGCGGGGAGGGCTCGGCACAGGCTCCCGCAGCCCCCCTCCCCGCATCCCCCCACCGGGCGACCCCGCGGGGCTGTGGGCGGTGCGGGGCGCCGGCGGGGCCGGGAAGGAGGGAGCGGGGAGTGCATGTGCATCCTCGCAGGCGCCCCTGCCTCCCTCCCCGCCGCCTTCCCTCCCCCTCCTCTGTGTGTGTCTCCCGCTCCCTCTCCAGCCTAGCCTGACGCAGGCGGATCGAAATCGCCCCTAACAACCCGGCTCCGGAGAAGCCGGTGCCGGCGGCGGGGGTCCGGCTGCGGCGGGGCC